CGGGAAGGCCTTGGTGCTCGCAGGAAGGGGGTGCTCTATGCGTACCTGTTTCGAGCTGCTGGGGACGCTCGCTTCACCCGTCGTCTCCGTGAGCAACCCCACCTTGGAAATGCACGTCTCCAGACAGATGGCGTCGAAGCTTTCTCTCGCACCTCAGGTTGCAACGACTACACCAACTGGCGTGTGATGCCGAGCATGGTGCGCCATCCCCGTTTGACCTGAAGTGCCACGAGCGATGACCACCCGCTGATATTCGACGAGTATCATCTGTGTGCATGCGTCCGCGCGTGCGCGTGCGCGACACGAAGGCGCGCGCGTTATTCTGAGTGATTCTATGTGTGCGTGTATGTTTGTGTGTGCGGTTGGTTGGATGGCTGGCTTGGCTGGCTGGCTGGTTGATTGGCTGGTTGGCTGGTCGGCTGGTTGGCTAGCTGGTTGGCCGGTTGGCCGGTCGGCTGGTTGGTTGGTGGGTTGGTTTGTTAGTTGTTGTTAGTTGGTTGTTTGGTTGGTTGCGCAGCTGGCCGTGTTGTGAGCTGAGAAGCCAGCCCTCTGACCGATCTGGCCACTCACGAAGAAGCAGTTGTGGTTGAAATATCGAATGGCCTTTGGCCCGTCCCGCCACAGTGCCTGGGCTGTGAGCATGAAGCCTATTGGATACTCGTTGGGATCTCGTGGGAGGCTTCTCGGAAGCCTCTGGGAGGCAGTTAGGACGCCTCTTGAGGGCCCTTCGGGGGCCTCTTGGGGCCTCTTCGGGGCCTCTTGGGGGCCTCTTGGGGCCTCTTGGCGGCTTCTTGGGCCCTCCTAGACGCCTTTTGGCGCTTCCTGGGATTTTCGGTTCGTGTTCACTCTCTGGTGCTTGTTTTGGTGCCGTCTTGGGGCCCTCTGGGGCCGACTTAGGCGCCTCCTGGGCCGTCTTGGGGCCGCACTGGAATCCTCTTGGAGGCCTCTTGGGCTGTCTGGGGACCTCTAGGGCCATCTCGGAACGTCGGGAAGCCGAGAAATCGAGAGCGCCAAAATCCTTCAGAAATTAATGTAAAATCAATGATTTGGGCCTCTTAGGGGGCCCTTTTGGAAAGCCTCTTGAAGGCCTCTTTGGGCGTCTCGGGGGCCGATTGGGCCGTCGTGGGCCCATCTAAGGCGTCTTGGAGCGATCATTCGGCGACTCGAGGCCGTCTTGGGCCGTCTTGGGGACCTCGTGGGGCTCTCCTGGCCCGTCTCGGGGCCTCTTGGAGCCCTCTTGGCCCATCTTAGGGCCCTTTGGGGTCCGAAAAATCATGCGACTAAATGCGCCAAGGACCAGGGGAACAACGCCAAGCCCCGGGAGATTTGTGCATTTGGGCTTCGGGACCCTAAGAAACTCTCCAGGACTGAGGACTAAGGATTGGGCAAAGGACCTGAGGGCACGCCCACTCCGTGCCCAGAGGCACGGTGGCGGATGGTTGGTTCCCATGCAGATGTGCATCCAAGGCGTTTTTTTTATTCTGCTGGATCAAACACGCCTTAGCCGCTCTCTGGTGAAGTCTTGGTTGCATGTTGGTTGAATGATGGGTGAACGCACGTCAATTACTGCGACAACATAGACTCTAACCAAAGTCTACTGCCAAACATTGTTTGTCCTGTGATTACTGCGGGGACGACAATGTCCGTATTGTTGTGATTGCTTCGCTATGTACCATTACCCGAAGCAGCAATGCCAATCCTCAGTCTTGCCCGCCGCCAAAGGCGGACACCTCCGCAGCACTCGGGGCTCAAGGTCTGATGAGCCTTTTGGCCGTTGAGTGTGCCGTGTCCCATTCCATCCGTAGCCTTTGGCTCAAGTCGCGCATTCTCGATCCGCCTCGGCCTCAGGCAGCTCGCTCCCTAAACCTCTGCTTGGAGAGCGCGCATCCCCCGAAGGATCGGTGTGATAGGCTCTGCCGCTCGCACCGATGGCGATGGCTGGTTGCGCGAAAGACCGCGACATCGTGCAGCTGGTCGCTGGGCGGACGCGATGAGCTTCTTCCTGCAGGCGGTGTTCTTCGGAGCAGCTGTGCCAGTGGTGTGCGTTGTGGTGTGCTGCGCTCTGCTGGCGGTGTCCAACCCCGACAGCCTGCTCACCAGCTGCGTGTCGATGACGGCCGCCGTGTGCGCCACGCACATGCTGCTGCACCGCTGGGAGGACTCGCCGCGCCGCTACCAGATCCTGGCCATACTGTCGATGCCGGCCGTGTACGCGTGCCTGACAGGCCTGCAGCAGCTGGTACCCCAGCAGGCGAAGTCCGACCCACGGCGACGACGACGACGACGACGACGACGACGAGGACGAGGACGAGGCCGACGCCGACGCCGACGACAACGTCGACGCCGACGGCGACGGTGACGGGGACGGCGACGGGGACGGCGACAACGACGACGATGGCGGCGGCTGTGACAACGATGAAGACGACGACGACGACGACGACGGCGGTGACGACGACGACGACGACGACAACAGCGGCGGCGACGACTGCTTACCCTGGCAGGCCTTGCACCTGGGGGTGTGCGCCGAGATCTACGAGGGCCTGGGCCTGGTGACCGACAAACGAAAAAGTATCCTGGCGAAGGACCCACCCATATGCAGCTGTGAGTAACGAACGCAATGGAAAGTACCGTCCTCGGTGGAGCTCCCTATGGGGCCACGAACCGTGTGAGGGCTGCGCCGAAATGGTGGTGGAACTGCATGCGAATTTTGCAACTGGGGCCTTCGGTGGAGCTCCCTATGGGGCCACGAACCGTGTGAGGGCTGCGCCGAAATTGGGGTGGAACTGCATGCGAACTTTGCCACTGTGGCCTTCGGTGGAGCTCCCTATGGGGCCACGAACCGCGTGTGGGGTGCGCCGCAATGGGAGTGAAACTGCATGCGAACTTTGCCGCTGGGACTTTCGGTAGAACTCCCTTTGGTGCCACGAACAGTGTGAGCGGTGCGCCGACATGGGGGGTGGAACTGCATGCGAACTTTGCCACTAGGCCCTTCGGTGGAGCTCCATATGGGGCCACGAACCGTGTGAGGGGTGCGCCGAATTGGGGGTGGAATTGCATGCAAACTTTGCCACTGGGGCCTTCGGTGGAGCTCCCTATGGGGCCACGAACCGTGCGAATGGTGCACCGACACGGGGGTGGAATTGCATGCGAACTTTGCCTTCGGTGGAGCTCCCTAGGGGGCCGCGAACCGTGTGAGGGGTGCGTCGAATTGGGGGTGGAACTGCATGCGAACTTCGCCACTGGGTCCTTCGGTGGAGCTCCCTATGGGGCCACGAACCGTGTGAGGGCTGCGCCGACATGGGGGTGGAATTGCATGCGAACTTTGCAACTGGGGCCTTCGGTGGAGCTCCCTATGGGGCCGCGAACCGTGTGAGGGATGCGACGACATGGGGGTGGAGCTGCATGCGAACTTTGCCACTGTGGCCTTCGGTGGAGCTCCCTATGGGGCCACGAACCGTGTGAGGGGTGCGCCGAAATGGGGGTGGAATTGCATGCGAACTTTGCCACCGGGGCCTTCGGTGGAGCTCCCTATGGGGCCGCGAACCGTGTGAGGGATGCGACGACATGGGGGTGGAATTGCATGCGAACTTTGCCATTGGGGCCTTCGGTGGAGCTCCCTGTGGGAACTGCATGGGATCTTTGCCACTAGGGCCTTCGGTGGAGCTCCCTGTGGGGTCACGAACGTGTGAGAGGTGCGCCGCAATGGCGGCGGAACTGCATGCGAACTTTGCCACCGGGGCCTTCGGTGTAGCTTCCTATCGGGTCACGAACCGTGTGAGGGCTGCGCCGAAGGGTGCTCCGAAATGGGGGTGGAACTGCGTGGGCCCTTCGGTGGAGCTCCCTATGGGGTCGCGAACCGTGTGAGGGGTGCGCCGGAATGTGGGTGGAATTGCATGCGAACTTCGCCGCTGGTGCCTTCTGTGGAGCTCCCTATGGGGCCACGAACCGTTTGAGGGGTGCGCCGCAATGGGGGTAGAATTGCGTGCGAACTTTGCCACTGGGGCCTTCGGTGGAGCTCCCTATGGGGCCGCGAACTGTGTGAAGGTGCGCCGAAATGCGGGTGGAACTGCATGCGAACTTTGCCACTGGGGCCTTCGGTGGAGCTCCTTATGGGGCCACGAACCGTGTGAGGGCTGCGCCGAAATGGGGGTGGAACTGCATGCGAACTTTGCCACCAGGGCTTTCGGTGGAGCTCCCTATGAGGCCACGAAGCGTGTGAACGGTGCGCCAAAATAGGGGCGGAACTGCACGCGAACTTTGCCGCTGGGGCCTTCGGTGGAGCTTCCTCTGAGGCTACGAACCGTGTGAGGGGAGCGCCGCAATGGGGGTGGAACTGCGTGCGAACTTTGCCACTGGGGCCTTCGGTGGAGCTCCCTAGGGGCCACGAACCGTGTGAGGGGTGCGCCGAGATGCGGGTGGAATTGCATGCGAACTCTGCCACTGGGGCCTTCGGTGGAGCTCCCTAGGGGCCGCGAACCGTGTGAGGGCTGCGCCGAAATGCGGGTGGAATTGCATGCGAACTTTGCCACTGGGGCCTTCGGTGGAGCTCCCTAGGGGGCCACGAACCGTGCGAGGGGTGCGCCGAAATGGGGGTGGAACTGCATGCGAACTCTGCCGCTGGGGCCTTCGGTGGAGCTCCCTCTGGGGCCGCGAACCGTGTGAGGGGCACGCCGAAAAAGGGGTGGAGGATGGGAGGAGGGAGGAGCGGGAGGAGGAGTGAGAACGCGCGACGCTGCCTCTTCCAAACGAGGACCCGACACCACCGGATGGTTGGGAAGTAATTGCTCGGGTCGGCGTTGGGCCCCCCCCTGGCGGCGCCCCCGGCGCCGCCCCCGGCGCGCCCCGCGCGCCAGGGAGGGCGGCCCAGGGCCGATCCACGAAATCCGCGCGGAGCTCCGCATTTCGTGCTTGTGCCGCTCTGCCTCTCCTCGAGGTGACGTTCCTGCTGCTGCTCCGCTCCCTGGCGGGCGCGGGGGCCTCCGAGGGCTCGCCCGGGCTGCGGGCGAGAGCGGGCGCCTCCCAGTGGGGCTGCGGGGCCCCGTCCTACGAGTGCATGGCCGCGACGCTGCCGGTGCACAGGGGAGCAAGTGCACGGGCGTGCTTCGATGTTTTGGGGGCCCGCGCGGGCTTCTCAGATCTGCGCTGGACCCGCTGTGGCGGCGCGGTCCGCGCGGGCCCTCGAGAGTCCATGTTCGCCTGCGTGTGTCTGCGGTCGGGCGGCTTGTGTGGATAGCGTGTCGGTCCTGAGCGCGGTGGGCCAGAACTGGGCCGCCGTGGCGACACGCTATCCAAAGGCTCCCGACCGTAGCTGTTCGTCTGCAGTGGGTAGAAAGAAGCTGGTCTGTCAGCGGGTGCTCCACGGAAGGTGCTTCTGCCCCGATGGCACAGGAGGCCCACGGAAGTTCTGGGGCATATCGAAGGCGAACGTGTTGCTTAGATTTCTTCTAGCAAGAATACTTATCGCTTGGGTCACTTCTAGGTATGTAAGATTGCCTTCCTGATCGTGTAGACGGTAGTTAGATGTTGATTCCTTCTCGCTTGGGTCACTCGTAGGTGTACAAGATTGCCTTCCTGATCGTGTCGACGGTAGACGCCACCTCTGGACTGGACCTGGGCTACGCTCTTAGCCGGGCCGACTTGCTGTGCAGTTTCTGCCTCGGGTGCGTCGCGCTAACGGCGATCGGGCGCCTCCTGGCGCACTTCACCGAGTCGCTGGGGAGCAGCGCGCTGCTCCTGAAGCACAAGTTCTGGGCGGTGAAGGGGACATCGAGGAAGGAAAGCCTGCGTGAGCATAACATCTCGGAAGTCCGCGCGGATTTCCTGGTGGGCGTTGGACCCCACTCCCTGGCGCTCGGAGCGCGCCAGGGGCGGCGCAGGAGGCTCCGCCAGGGGTTCCAGCGTAGATCCAAGAAATCCGCGCGGACCTCCGAAAGTTTGCGTGTGCTTGTGCCTTTTCTCCCTTCTTCGAGGATAGTCACCGTGATGTTCAACCAGTCGCTGCTGCTGTGGGCCCTGGACCGGCCGCTGCAGCGCCTGCTGGACCTGCTCGAGATGGAGGCGCGCGAGGCTGGCGGTGCAGGCAAGAGGCTGGCGCGAGGGGGGGCGGCCTTCTGGGAAGGTGGAGAGGCTCCGATTGTAAGAAGGCAGCCAACTTCTTACCCAGGAGGGTGGCCTGGTGGGGCTGAGAAGCCATGGCGTCGTCGTCGTCGTCGTCGTCGTCGACGTCGGCGTCGGCGTCGGCGTCGGCGTCGGCGTCGGCGTCGGCGTCGTCGTCGGCGTCGGCGTTGGCGTCGTCGTCGTCGGCGTCGGCGTCGGCGTCGTCGGCGTCGGCGTCGTCGTCGTCGTCGTCGTCGTCGTGGCTGGGGATAAGTTGGACGATGCTGAAGGCCGACCGCGGGCTGCCCGCTGCGATCACACACACCCCGTGAGCTCGCCCGACCGCCGTGGCCCACGAGCGCCGACCGCGCGGTCGATCGGCCAGACCGGCTCTGATCCATGAGATCTGGGCATTGCGGCTTTTTAACGCCAAGTATGTTTCGCCGGGGCTGGCCGCGCCACACGCTCGGGGCGTGACCCGTCCCCCTGAGCGGCTCGCTTCTCCCGCCCCGTCTTTCGGCCGCCTCCTCCTCCTCCTCCTCCTCCTCCTCCTCCTCCTCCTCCTCCTCGTCCTCCTCCTCCTCCTCCTCCTCCTCCTCCTCCTCCTCCTCCTCCTCCTCCTCCTCCTCCTCCTCCTCCTCCTCCTCCTCCTCCTCCTCCTCCTCCTCCTCTTGCATGGTGGCACAGTTCGCCATAACGGCATCCCCGTTGAGGCCTTTCCGCTAGCGCGGCCTTCCCCGACCTCGCCGCCGACGCCAGAAGTTGGCCCGGCTTCGGGCCCCGGGACCATGCACGGATCGATCCAGCTCGGAAAATGCAGCAGAAGGACGGGGCCCAGGGCCCCAGTCGTGGTTTGTTGCGTTGTTGCATTGTGTTTCCCCTGACGTCATCTCTTCTCACGACGTGGACCCCCAGAGGACTGGGCTCCTTTCCCAGGACCCGTTTTGCATGCTGAGTAGTTCTTTGGCAGCTCCGAGACATTGTAAGGGCCCTGGAGCCCTCAGGGTAATTCGGTAGTTTCCGAGAGGCCTTCCTGGCTTCCTGTGAGCCTTCTTAGAAGCTTCGCGGCCCTGCTGAGAAGGCGACTGCCTTCTCGGACCCCCCCCCCCGCCTCCTCGGAAGGCCAACCCCCCCCTCTCGCCAAGCTCGTGCGCGCCGCCCACGGGGAGGACTTCGTCGCCACCTTGGTGGCCATGGATCAGCCACGCGCAGAAAGGGGGGTGGGGGGAGGGGGGAGGGCTTCTTGGAAGCACCCCTGCTTCTTAGAAGGCGCGGGCCCTCCCTACAGATGTAAGGCCAGCGCCTTCCAAAAAGCAACCTCTTTCTGAGAAGCCCTCCCCCTTCCCTCCACCCCCTTGTGCGCGCCGCCAGGAGATGCTCTTCCTGAGCCTCTGGCACACCGTCGCCTTCCCCGTCTCCGGCGACAGCGCCGCCGCCGCGCCGGGCGGCAGGCAGAGGCTGGCCGCGCGCAAGAGCGACCCTTCGCCGGAGGGGCTTCTGGCGCGCCCCCCCCCCGACCCCACGCGGACCCCACAGTGCGGTTAGGTCGGGCATGTCCTCCTACAAGGAGATTCTGGGAAAAAGACAAAACAGATTCAGACAAAAGTCAGGAATAGTCCAAAAATAGACAAGAAGTCGTCCCCAGACTATGTTTGGACTATTCGGGCGCGAGGATGCCCATTTGTAGTTGAAAGTAGGTATGTCTGGACTCCCAGACTCCAATCTGCTTTGAGCGCCTTCCTGCTGCAACGATCGAGTGGTTTCCCGTTGTTGGTCCTCATTAGGGGGCGGGCAGACACCCAATCTATGTTCAACGCCCTCCTACCTCATGTGTCTACCTACCGTAGACGCGCTAACGGTGTGTTAGGTAACGGCGATGTAGGAAAACCAATTGTAGGAAGGCGTGGTCCGTGGCCAAACCACTTGTAGGAACGCGTGGCTCGCGTTTTCCTACAACTCTCTGTGTCGTTCTCGCTCGATACATTTGCACATCCGACATGTAGGAAAGTGTGCTTAGCGATTTCCTACTATTTGTTCTGCGCAAGCTCGGTGTCACAAAAACCAGATTCCCAGCATCGCCGTTAACCAACATCGCCTTTAGCGCGACCTTGGTTCCTACTTCATGTGTCTACCTACTTCTTCCGACCGATGGGTAACCGCGCCTCGCGGGGGCGCGGGGCGCGCAGAGGGGCGACCCCTGGCGATAATAGCAGAGGCCTGCGCGCAGGTGGGCCTGGCCCCGCCTGCAGCCGCGCCACCAAGACCCACCCCTGCCCCAGGCCCCGGCAGCCGACGAGGTGGTTTTGTCCATGCTCGCCGAGCGCGTTCCACTATTCAAAAAATTGCCGACTCGCAGACCACCGAAAAACCATGCGTCTGCTTTGTGGGTAATATATCGTAATTTCCCTGCGGCGGATCCAGTCCATTTGCGAGCAGCTACTTTCTGAGGAGTGGAACGCGCTTGTGTACATGCGCGGCCCCAACCCCGATCCGTTTCTGATCGCCCTGCACCCCTGCCCAGGCCCCGGCATCCGACGAGGTGTTTTTTTCCTATGCGGCCCCAGGATCGGGGAAGCGTAAGACTCGAGTACGCCAGGACTCGGGTTTGACAACTTTTTTGTTGACGAGCGCGTCTTGGATTTTGACGGTCCGGTCGTCGTGGGATGTCTGCAGTGGGAGCTCGCTCGCGTCAGATTTCAGATTGGGTCTCGTATTTTCCTCGATACCCCCATCAGGGCAACCCGAGTCCCCCGAACCCGAGTCGCGGCGGATCCAGGCCATTTGCGAGTAGCTGCTTTACGAGGAGTGGAACGCGCTTGTCTACATGCGCGGCCCCAGGAACCCCGACCCCTTCCCCTCGGGGTCGTGTTTCGCCCCAGATTCGTTTCTGGTATCCCCGGCGCCCGAAGACGGGATCGGGGAAACGTAAGACTCGAGTACGCCGGGATTCGGGTTTACCACCGTTTTTTTTTGACGAGCGCGTCCTGGATTTTGACGGTCTGGTTTTCGTGGGATGTCTGCAGCGGGAGTTCGCGTCAGATTTCAGATTGGATCTCGTCATTTTCGTTGATGCCCCCGTCAGGCCAACCCGAGTCCCCCGAACCCGAGTCTTCCGTCTCCCCGAAAGTGCCTACTCGCAGACGTCCGAAAAACCGTACGTCTGCTTGGTGTGATATATCGTAAACTCCCTGCGGCGGATCCAGGCCATTTGCAAGCAGCTACTTTTCCTGGCGTGGAACGCGCTTGTCTACATGCGCGGCCCCAGGAGCCCCGACCCCTTCCCTTGGGGTCGCGTTTCGCCCCAGATCCGTTTTGTGATCGCCCCGGCGCCCGAAGACGGGGGCCCCAGTGGCCGAAACCGAGGCAAAGCGCCCCGGAGCCCAGGGCCCCAGTGGCTGCGTTCATATGACGTTCCCCCATTCATGTTGGCATGTTCCTTGCACGCTTCGTGGCCCCGTAGGGAGCTCTGCCCAAGGCCCCAGCAGCTGCGTTCACATGCCGACCCTCAGAGGCCCCAGTAGCGGTGTCCGCATGCGTTTCCTGCGTCCAGGACAGCGCTTCGCGGTCCCATAGTGGAAGGCGCAGCTCCGCGGAGCGTCGGAGGGTGCCTCTGGCGTGCAGCCGGCGAGAGGGCGCTCCTGGCGGGCAGCGGCGCGGCCAGCTCGAGCGGCGAGGGGGATTGGCTCTGGCCGTGGATGGTGGCTCAGATGACGGTGCCGGAGGGTTTCTCCGAAGGGCTTAGGCGACCCGTCCTCCTCCTCCTCCTCCTCCTCCTCCTCCTCCTCCTCCTCCTCCTCCTCCTCCTCCTCCCATCCTCCTCCTCCTTCCCATTCTCCCTCCCTCCCTCTTTCCCTCCTCCCTCCTCCCTCCTCCTTCTCCCTCCTCCTCCACCTCCTCCTCCTTC